TCATGCATTGATGAAATCCAAGTCAGCAGGTATGTTACTAAATTAGTTTATTTAAAAAGTCCAATTGATCTTGTTAATTCGTTAATCTAAAAGTGACACTGGCAGGAGATTTTGGCATTTTCCGCATTTTATCTATGTGATTTAGGCTCTAACATGTTCAGTTTTATTAACTCTGAACTTATCCATAATTATATTCAGCTTGACAGTATGACAGTTTTCGACTTTCAAGTTAACATGCCTCGTGTTTACTTTGCTACTTGTCAGAGCAAGCATATGCTAATAAGCTCCATCAAATTACTAAACTAGCTATCTAGAACCAAAGATGTCAATGCTAATTTACATATTTTTATCTTATAAGTCAATCCAGTTCTCAAAGCGAAGAATCTAAAGATGAAGAGGAACAGATGGACGTTAACAAGCATGACGGACAGCAGACAAAGGAAAAAATCAAATCAACATATGTCCCACCCGAGTTCTTCAAACTCTATAAGCCCAAGTAAAACTAGGAAATTTGGACTCTTGTTTGAATGCCGCATGAAAAACTGCCCACGTCAACGCACCTCCCGAGCCTTACGGCCAATCTTCATGACAAAAAATTCTCTTTCAAATCTTCGTAGACACATTAAGGTAATAATTGTGCATTTAAGAAAAATCTGAGTAGTTGTATATGCTCAAATTTGAATTTTTTATTTAGAATTATCATGGTGAGGATCTTGGAGTTGAAATGCTGAGTTTTAACAAAGCAGTGGAGGCTGGAAGACAATCCAACAAAAAGCAGTCTACTCTGGATGCACACTTTGTGGTCAAGAATACTAAAAGAAAGGTCAACAACTAGCCCATCACTCAAAAGGAATTGGACCACAATGTGCTGGTAAATTGCAATTTGATAAGTCTTTATTTGCCATGCTAAAGTGTAATTTATTTATTTGCTATTCCGGAATTATATTGCTGTTGATATGCGGCCATTTTCTTCGGTCCACAACGCTGGTTTAAGTTTGCTGCTGCCGCTGATCGACAACCTAGAGTTCAGAAGTCCAAAATTTTATCGACAGCTACTAGACAAGGAGTGCGAGGAAAAGACTAAGCTACTGAAGGAAACGTTGGCAGAGGTCTCATACGTCTGCTTCACAGCTGACTGTTGGACAAAAAATTGCAGAAGCTACATCGGGATGACCGTCCATTGGTGGTCTGATGGTCTCACCCGCTGGAGTGCTTTGCTTGCCATTCGCCGAACCAAAGAGAGCCACACCTATGATGTGATAGCGAACGCCATCAACGACATATACACCAAATTTGGCATTGAAAAAAAGGTTGTCGCCATCATTACGGACAATGGCTCAAACTTCCTGAAAGCATTTAACTTTTTTGGATGGCAACTACTTGATGAGACCTCTGATAATTCTGACGACGGGAATCTCTCGTCCGAAGAAGGCGAGGTAACGGAGTTTTTTAAAATACCGAAGATTTTGAGTGTTGGACCTGCACGCCCTGCCGTACCAGAAAAAAGGCAACGTCTTGATTCCGAACATAGCGATGAAGAAGCTTCGAACCAGAGCAACGATTCCATCGAGTCCTTAACTGACGAAATTCGCTTTCCTCCTCATTTCAAATGCGGATGCCACCTACTTAACCTAGTAGCGGCCAAAGACTGCGTCTATTTCAAAGACCATCCGAGCTCATTTACGAAGTTGAAGAGGAAAGTAGATGGGAAACTGCAGGCAATCTGGAATCATCAGAAAAGGAGTTATTTGAAGTCGGATCTTATCAAGTCGACTATGGAAAAATTATTTGTTATTCACAATGCCACTCGATGGAACGGCTACTACGACGCTGTGGATCGGGTCAGAGCTTTCCTCGTCAACAAAAACGATGCGTTTGATAAACTTTGCAAAGACCTTGGTGACATCAAGAAATTCACTCAGGCTGAGATCAAGTACGTCATCAAGTACACCATCATCATGAAACCCTTGTCTGAGGTTTTGGACCTCTTTTAAAATGAATCAAACGTCTCAATTGGATGTCTGCTGCCTTCTATCCAGCTGTTAAAAAAAGAGTTAACGGGAATGGAAAAGATGCCATCCATTGCAAAAGCCTCATTAAAGCCGTGCTGTGGGGTTTGCAAAAGAGATTTGGCGACATGTTCCATGACTCAAGACTTCGCCTTGCTGCACTCTCTGATCCTCAATTCAAACTTCTTTGGGTATCTGAACAAGAGCGTTATTTGGACATCCGCCTTCTGAAACGTGAAGTCACTGCTAGAAAGGAAATTCACTAAGCTGGGAGCTCTCTGTAAGTAAAATTATTGTAGCCCATTTCTCTCAATAGCCTATAATATCGAGTCCTGCTCTTTCAAAAATCAAAACGTAGTATTTAAAACCTTTTTGATGATCTTCTATAAAGGTCCGACAGTTCTACCTTTAGCGGATCGACCGCGGATGAAAATCGTGTTACAAAGCAGCGACTGCGATTCTTGGATGCCTACAAAAAACGCAGCTCGAGTAATCTTGACGAGGTGGATAGTTACTTCAATGAGGAGCAAGGTGATCGATCTCAGCTAGACAGATATCCGACGATTAAATCGATTTTCAGGTATATTTTAATCATTTTTTAATCCACTATAAATCACAAAAATAACTGATTAAGACTTAAATGTTTTATAATTTTTTAGGCAGTACAGTACTGCGTTGCCCTCGTCTGCAGCTTGCGAGCGAACATTTAGTTTTGGAGGACTCATCTTCACTGCCAAACGGGGATCAATGACTGATAGCACCTTTGAGAAGTTGACTTTATACAAAATCAACAACAATATTTTCAAAGATTGGAATGAGACTCCATCGACTGTGAAAAAGCGGTCAAATTACATTGGTCAAAGCTTTTGAACAACGTAGTTTGGTTCACAATATCCCATTTATCATATTAGTTATTATTTAATTAATAATTGTATAACATATATCTGTGTTACTTCATCTTACTACTGTCGTGTATTCGTGTTACTCCTTCCTACTATTGTATTATATCCTACTATTGTCGTGTATTCGTGTTACTCCTTCCTACTATGTGACCAACTGACAATTAAAACGATGTGAACGGGCTGCCAATAAATAAATATTGGGGAAGTTATTGAAACTTTTTTATGAGTGGATTTGTGAGCGAATGAGCGGAGCGCCCGCTCAAGAAATTTAATGAGCAGATTTGCGAGCGTCCGTTCATAAAAAGCTGCTGAACGATAAATTGAGCATTGCTCAGAATTTTCTGAGAAAATTGTAGGTCTGGTCTACATGCATTCCAAAGAAGACATCGACCCAAGCGTTGCTGAATGGTCACACAAGCTGCAGTGACATGCCCTGTGTTTGATGCAGTTGTGTAAAATGCCATGCAAATGATAGAGGTGGTGCAGTTTCATGACTTTAACAGGTCGACTGTTAAATCTGCAATGATATCACCAGATTTTCTGTCTTTTCCAGGTTCATATGCTGGAACACCAAGTAGCTTCATTTCATAAGCAGTTCCTACTAGAACAGAGAGACGCTCCTCAGAAATGTTTCTGTTGGACAATGATGACATTTGTTTGGAATCCTAGTGCAGAGTTGCGAGTTTAGGAGGAATCCACTCATACCTGAAAGATTCTGTAAGGTTCTTTCCCACTTTCCGCCTGGATTTATCAGCATAAGAATATGATGCAGAAACCTTAGTTGAATCGCCTCCTGCTTCGTCAATGACAGCCTCAGTGTAAATTGCTTGCTGCGCTGGTGTCAATTTTAAGCGGGTTGCTGGTGCAACAAGCCTTGGTCGTTGCACAATGTCATGTGGTATGAAGGCAGGAGTTCCAGTGCGGGTATTACGACGATGGCTTCTACTTGTAGGTGTTTTAAGTTGAACACCAACAGCAGAGAAATCACTGTCCTCGCCCAATTTACCATGATCTTCAATAATATCATCTTCATCAGTTTCTTCGCTGCTCTCAAAGTCACTAAAACTGTATGCTTCTGCTGTGAGATGACTAGACATTTTTTCACGTCTTTTTGCCACACTTTATTCCCGTTTGTGCCGACGCTGAAGTTTATCCGTCAACACTTTATCGCATCAACCGAAGGTGGCCAAACGATCAGCCTTTATCGACTGCAGGAACTTCATGTCTGCTGAATTTTTTACAAGTAGTTCCACATTTGCCGGCCACATGAAATGTTTTTGCTAGCATACATTCCGTCTCCTGTACCTTCTTTATAGAACCTGGCATGGATCTACGTTTCAAAGGCATTGCTCGGATCTTGGGCATTGGATGGATCTACGTTTCAAAGGCATTGCTCGGATCATTAAACTTCTTGATTGTCATCAAGAAGTTTAATGATCTTTTCGCATGCTTTACGTTCGCTAATTATTGGAATATTAGCCTTATCATAAAACTGCTTCAGCTTTGCTAAGGCAAGTTTTGCTGACTCCCATCTAGTTCGATTTGTACTAGCTCTATCATCAAGGTGGTACATTAGACAGCGCAACACTTGACAAGAAGTTAAAAGCCGACACCCGGTAAATTTTGCGTCATCTTCAGTTATCTTGCTCCCAAGCCCAAATATGATGACTGATTTTCGCGTGGCTATCTTCTTGATGTCTTGATTGCCAGATGAACTAGGGGTAGGAGGTGTTTGAAGTACTGCTGTTGGGTCAATTTCCGCTGCTTCACTCATACTGGTACAGACTAAAGTGCTGCTGGTGGTATTCAAAATATCCAACTATCCGTTAAACTTCTTACTTTTAGCAATTTAAATTGTTATTTGTTAATCTAAAACAGAAAACTATAATTTAATTTGATTATCTGACAATTATAAAACCTATAAATAAATAATCACTGATGAAATCAAACATAAACACATAAACAACATTTATGTAATATATGTAAATAACTACTAAGTACTAACTAGCATAATACAAAATCTCTTTTAATTTTTTAGTTTTACGCAATATAAAATATATAGTTTATTTGAGAAATATTTACTTTTTAGACTAGCACATGAAATTTGAAACAAAGATGGCAACAAAGGACTAGTACAAGATCTGTTGAAATATTATGTACGGTGGCCAAGAAGTGATAATTATAAATTAAATATATTAAAAAACATAATTGTTTATATTTATTTTATTTATTTTAATTATATTCATTAAAACAAAATGATTAGATTAAAATTTACCTATATTCCTATATATATATTATATCTTTTTAATTATTATTATCGAAAAAAACCATATTTTTTTTAAATACTAAAGAATTTTGCATTCGTTCTGGTTCTTTCGCAAAAAATTTTAGATTTGTGGTGGACCCCCAAAATCAGTTCAGATTTGTAAAAAAATTGACAGAAGTTCATTTAAGGTCCAATGGAACGTTTTGGGACTGGGGACAAGACAATTCTTTGACATGAGGGCATTGGATGCACCGTAATATATATATATATATATATATATATATATATATATATATATATATATATATATATATATATATATATATATATATATATATATATATATATACATATATATATATATATATATATATATATATATATATATATATATATATATATATATATATATATATATATATATATATATATATATATATATATATATATATATATATATATATATATATATATATTATGCAAAAACAAACAAACAAACATGAAATTGATAATTTTTCAAAAGCTTGAAAAATTACAAATTTCATCAGTATATATGTAATCGTAAAGTATAATATGTAATCTAAAAAAATATTGTCGTTCAGATTACAATTCCTTAATTATTTTGTGGAATAGTTGATAATTTAAAAATATAAAAATATTTTATCAATTGAAAAAACTACTTCTTTTAGTTTTCTATAAACTTTTTTCAATGAAAAAGTTTATAGAAAAAAAAAAGTGAAGGAGGTACCTTAGCTATTTTATACAACCCAAAAGCTCTTGGTATGCGACACAGGATCCGAATTTAACAAACCTCTTTAAATATATATGTAAATATTAATTTAAATATAGTTAAAGTACGATGTGTTCGCTTGGTCTAGCGGTTAGTTCGGCGGCCTGAACCGAACGAGGTAAAGTACGATTACTCAATGTGTTCGTTTGGTCTTGCGGTTAGTTCGACGGATTGAACTAAAGAAGATCCGTGTTCGATTCCTGGTCGAGTATAATTGTAATACTTGTGTTTTAATGACGAATCAATAAAAATAAACTATACTTGAGGCAGACTTTTTTTTTTAAGCACCCATATTTAGTAAGTCCGTTAAAAATGAGTCCTACGCGAGATCAGTAATATTGAAAACAAAGCCTAAAACCCAATGCTGAGGATAGGTTACCCGTACCCCTTAATTTGGGGGTGGGGGAAGAAGTCAGGGGGGAAAAGAGACAAAAAAAATTGTGTTTTTTAGTTAATTTAAGGAGCTTTTTATTTTAGCGAAACCTAGAGGTAAAATTTGGGAGATTTTGAGACTGGTTTTAATTTGTATTGTTAAGACTTCGCTATTGTCATCAGAGTGACAACCCTAATTTTCTATTATCTGGTACTATATTTAATGGTTGACGATCCTAATTTTTCCATCTCTGATTGCTGTGTATTGTTGAGGCAATCTTACTTAAGTAGAAAAAAAAAGTCCAAATTAAAACTAAAAAAGTAAAAATTAATACAACAAAAGTCCAAATTAAATAAACACAATGCTAATTCTTGATTCTTAAGCAGCTACTCCTTTTTTCCCTTCTCAACGCAATGACAACTATAATGCAACGCTAGGTAAGCGTAACGTTAACAAATTAATAAAGTTTACAAAGGTTGAAAATAATTTGTAAAAAATGAACATTTAAAAAAATGTTCTTAAAAAAAAATTAAGAAATGCTCTTACTTCATGTCAGGCCTAATAAAATTACTGCAAGTCTTCTTGTCAGGCCTAATATTATACTGCAAGTTCATGTCTTCATGTCAGGCCTAATAATATGCTGCAAGTTTTCTTTTATACAAAAAAGTACACCACCGCCTCGTTTTTTTGATTTTCGTGCTAGCAGGATCATTTTAAAGCCTCTTAGGTGGAGATTTAAGTAAGATTTGGGTTTATCAGAGTCACACCAAGTTTCAATTAAGCATATTATGCTAAAAATATTTGAAGTTTCTTTAACAATGTTACATAAGTTTTTTTTTCAAGCTTCTAATTTTAAGATGAACAACATTAAAATGATCCGTCCAAGAAATTCTTTTACTTCCATGCTATACGAGCATTTGTTTTGCAATGTTTCCTAATAATTTTTATAGATTTACTGTTGCATTTTATAGATTTACTGTTATTAACATCCTAATAATTTTTTATAGATTTACTGTTGTATAACTGATGACTACAGAAGATGATTTTGGTTGTATAAGTGGTAATAACCTAATTTATAAATTCACTTGTAATGTTTTAAAGATTACTTTTTTCATAATGTACACAGTAAATAAAATACCCGTTATATTTTTAAAAAACAT